ATAACAGGATGATGAAATGAAAAAATCCTTTCTTGTGCTTTGCTGACTTACCTGTGTCATTGTTTCTTAGAGTTCACTAAACATCTTCATTACGGTGTCACTAAAGCCATTGTCAGAGAATTTACTGAATTGATTGGCGTTTTGGTTGTAACACTGGTTTTCACTCATTGAACTTAGTGGATTTCTATGTCTTTTCCCCATTGATTTTCCAGTGTTCTTGCTGTGCTGGAGGGAAATCTTTGTAGTTAGAACTCTTGGAAAATGCTGAGGGATTAAGCTGGGGGTTGCTCTCTTCTTTCTTTGCCCATCTTTTTAATTTATTTTTAAAAATTTTTATTAGTGAAACACCATGAGGTACAGTTGTAGACTTACAAATTTTTGTGCTTGGGTTTCAGTTATACAATGATCGAGTACCCATCCCTCCACCAGTGCCCATTCTCTACCACCACTAATCCCAGTATCCCCCCACCCCCCATCCCCCCATCCCACCCTACCTCTGTGGCAGGGCATTCCATTTTGTTATCTCTCTCTCTCTCTCCTTTTGGGTGCTGTGGTTTGCAAAAGAGGAATTGAGTGGCGGCATTCATGTTCTGTCTATAGTCTACTTTCAGCATGCATCTCCCATCCTGATTCTCAAAAAATTAGAAATCGAGCTCCCATTTGACCAGAGAGGCAAAAAAGTATAGTCAAAGTGACATCTGCACTTGTTTGTTCATTGCAGCACTGTTTACAATAGCCAGAGTCTGGAAAAAACCTGAGGACCCAAGAACAGATGACTGGTTAAAGAAACTTTGGTACATCTACACAATGGAGTACTATGCCCATCTTCACCAAATGACAGGAAGAGTAACTGTGAGCAGCGAGTCATTTGCTGGGTGAATCTGTTGAGCGGCTACCTATGCTTCAGGAATTGTGATGTGGGCCCTAAATATGGTACAGGTCAGGTATGGCAGCTGCTGGAACTTCTCCCTTGGCGCTTTCTTAATATCTATTTTTAGCAAGTTCTTTATGAAAACACTAGAATCATGAGGTGGGTTGAAGAGGAAAACTGACATTTATCAAACAGCTAATATAAAAAATTATTCCTACATATGATATAATTTAATATTCCAGAAATGATGAGGATAAGTCATTTGGCCCAATTTGTAGATGAACAAATGGAATCTTTAGTTACTTTTTGTGGCAGTGGATTTATTGCTCAATGGTAATTTATTTTTGATATTTTTGTTAACAAAGGAACCTAGAATGACTGACAAATATTAGGTAGTTATGTGCTTCAGCAAAGAAGGTTTTCTCAGTATATGAAATATGTTTGGACTTAAGTCAAACATGATTATTTCCCCCCTTTTTCAGTGATTTATTTGGGCATGACAGAATGACCTAGTTCTTGGCAATTAAATCTAAGAGAAATTTGGCAGCAACTGCTGTGAAAATCTGTCATCCAGGAGAGAGACTTACATGTATAAAATACTTCATTTCTTTTTACATTTTATTGTTAACTTGTGAAGACATGGTGCTTTAAAAACAACAAAACTCATGAGTAGAAGGGTCATTTGGATCATGAGATGAATTGAAACTATATGATATGGTGATACGATATGGTGAGTTTAATTCCCAGAGATGTGAAGCTGAAATTCTGTTACATTTATCTTACTCTGGCATTATTGAGGCAATGTGCTTTTCAGGAAGGAGTGTCAGTGTTTATGCTTTTGGTATATAAACTTCATGCATCTATACCAAGGAAGGGACCCAAAGCCACTGTCATTAGGTTACTTTTCCTGCTCCTTCTCCACTCCCCATCCCCACACATTCATGCTTGGAAACTTCAGTTCTGTTGTCAGAGTCCAAGGGTGTGTTTTCATTGGACATTTTCCATTTCCTAATATGTCACATATGAGTGCGATCATCCAGCATTTGTCTTTCTCCCTCTGAATTACTTTTCTTAGCATGATACCCTTTGCTTCAGTCCAAGTTACAGCAACAGGCTGTATCTTTTCTTCAAGCCCGGTAGCCTCTTGTTGTGTATTATATTCCACTAATTTCTACCCCCTCATCCATTGTTGGACACTTGAGTTGTTTCCAGAACGTAGCTATTATAGTGTTGCAATTAACAAAAATTCTGTGATATTTTAAACCAGTAATAAAAGCAAAAGGATTTGATGCTTGGTTGGATCCACAGCAGCCATATTACAGCCTTGAGACAAAGAGCTATTGGGGTCTTGCCTGACACTCTTTGGTGTCTGTAGTTGTTCGTTGTTAGCAACTCCCTTTTGTTGAGGCTATTTTTTGTTAGACATGTGCTTGTTCATATTTATCAAGCACCAGAATAGTAATTAGAGTCCAAATTTGACTGATGATGAACATCATCTGACTCGCTCTCCCATACAGATGTCTCTCTGCCTTGCAGTCTAACAAAAATAAACTGTCGATCACTGGTCTACTGAATTTAAAGTCCAAGAAAGTTGACTATCAAGTGGAAAGTATTTAAAAGCATCCTATTAAGTATAGAATTTTTTCTAGATCAGATTGTTACAAGAAATTCTTCCTCATTATTTTTCTGGTAGCCTGAAATATTCCTGGCCTGCCTGTGATAAATGCATTCTTTTTATACAGATCTAAACATTGCACTAAGATAAACTTGTCCACCACACTTAGTTCCATTTTCCTCTGCAGAAGTAATCACCTGTACCATTAGCAACAAAGCTTCCTAGATCAAATCCATTTATATAAGATATCCTCAAATTGAGATGATATTTAGAAAGTCAAAAGCATTGTTCTGTAATATATGCTGCAATATTTTAGCATCATGATAGGTCTTGTATATATTCATATTTAGATGGTTGGTTGTATGTACTTGGCTATCATTTGCAATTTAATGTTCTATAGTACAAATATATTGGGGTTTTATCCAGTGGTCTTTGCCATTACAAAGAGGATTTGTAATTTTTCCTTGTTTCTACAATGTTTCTCCATCAGTTGTAGCGTTCATTTGTCCATTTGCCCAATATTAATCCCCTGGGGATTTTAGTTTGAATTTTATTGGCAACAATTGAAAAATTTATATTAAACTTTCTGTGGATATTTTTTTTTGGTATGTGTTATTGTAGGTCTTCAGCTGCCAGAGCCCTGGTCGGGGTGGGGAAGGAAACTCAACCCGCTCCCCTCCAAGGGGCCCCAGTGAGGACAACCAGGCGTGGGGGCAGGAGACTCTGCGCTGTTCTCTTCCAGGAGCTAGGTTTTATAGTCTCTGGGTCTTGGCCGTTGATGGAATTACACGGCACCAGGGGGCCAGTTGGTGGGTGTGACCTCTGCCTACTGGAATATAGAGGATCTTGGTGGAGGATGCTCAGCCCCGATCCGAGCAGGCTTGGAGAACCAGCCACCACCATGTTGAGACCACTCTCCACAAGCATGAAGGTACTGGCAGAGGAACACAGGCATGTGGGTCCCGGGGCTGAGATCTCCAAGCCTGCTCGGATCGGGGCTGAGAATCCTCCACCCAGATCCTCCATATGCCAGTAGGCAGGGGTCACACCCACCAACTGCCCCCCTGGCACCGTGTAATCCCATCAACGGCCAAGACCCAGAGACTATAAAACCCAGCTCCCGGAAGCACGCGGCCGACATCTTATTATCTCATTCCTACTTTGAACAAACTGGCAAGCTACCGAATGTAACCTGCCCACATGGCAGAGTCTGACAAACTCCCCATGGTGTACCCAATATGCTAAATACCAGTAACAATGATGGGTCTCTTTCTCCTAAAGATCCTTGAATATAATCTCAGGGCTAGGATGAAGGAGATGTTACTGGCCTGCTCGAGGCAATCAACGAACAACAGGATGGTCGTGATCGTGATCGTTATTGTAGGACAGGTCTTTGAGGGAAATTATTGTCCCAAATGATATACGAATATTTAAGCTTTACTAGTTTACTCTCAAAATGATTTTAGGTGAGTTATGTGCAGTTTTCTGTACTAGTCTTAGTGTAGGATGGTGGCAACAATGATGCTGATGATGGGATAATGGTGATGATGATACTGTATATCAGATGAACCTAGAACTTTTCTGTAATAGTTAAGTTTGGGTCCAAATTCATCAGATGTATAATCACCTTCAGATTTTATCACTCCTCATTTTAAGGGTGGAGAAAGACCCCAATTCTACAGATAAATTCATTTTAGGAAAATTAGGTTTTTCTAAGTATACCACTTTGTAATACTACTGAAATATTGACCAGTCCCAGGTAAGTGTAGTGCATATTGAGTGGCACTGAATTACTATTTTAAAAATAGTGATTGTCTTAACCACTGTCAAAAATGTCCTTGAAGAGGGGCTGGAATGATAACATAGTGGGTAGGGCATTTGCCTTGCATGTAGCCGACCCGGGTTCGATTCCCAGCATCCCATATGGTCCCCCGAGCACCGCCAGGAGTAATTCCTGAGTGCATGAGCCAGGAGTAACCCCTGTGCATTGCCAGGTGTGACCCAAAAAGCAAAAAAAAAAATGCCTTTGAAGAGCAGAGGAAAACTTCTAGAAAATAAGGCAGAAAATAAGTGGTAGACTGTTGGTTCATGCTTCTGTGGTTATCTTTGTTAAACTCTCCAATATTCCCGTTTTGTAGTAAATCTCCCAATTTCTGTGTAGGGGTGGATCCCTGAGCCTTAGAGGCAACACTTAATTGGTGAGTTGCTTCCGTTTTGAGTCATTTTCACATTTTAAGCCAGATGTGCAAAATTTGGCATTCCTAACCTTCATTGCACTTTTACTGGCTCATCTTCTTAAACTAGCAAAACTGGGACCTGAGCAATAGTACAGTGGTAGGGCATTTGCCTTGCACACAGCCAACTCTGGTTTGATCCTGGTAACCCTGTATGGTCTCCCAAGCCTGCCAGGAGTGATCCCTAGTGCAGAGCCAGGCCTTAAGTCCTGAGCACCACCGTGTGTGGCTCAAAAACTTAAAAAGAAAAAACTAGCAAAACTGTGAGCAGGTTGAAGACTTAAGCTGCATCATCATCATCATCGTCATCATCATCATCGTCATCATCATCTAATAGTAATATTGTGTATGCATCTATGCATCAGTTACTTGTGTTTGTTTAACAAAGAATTTCTGTGCTCAAGGATGAATGCTACTAATTCAATCAGCATTAAGACTGATTTCTTATAACTTTTGCATGTCATAGTATGTTAAGCATTTTTCTTTCCTCTTTTTTTAGCTTTAGTGGTATACTTTTTTTCCAAATAAAATTGTTTTAATAATAGAATGCATAATGCTAAACAAAGATGAAATAGAAATACTTAGATAATGAAAATTGTGGTAGAAATGAAATATCAAGTCTTCTTGTGTCAGAAACAATTATTTAATTAGAGTGACAGTTAAATTAATTCTCAATATGATGTTTTTATATTGGAGTTGTATATTTCTCTATTAGGGCTGGAGCGATAGCACAGCGGGTAGGGCGTTCGCCTTACAAGCGGCCAACATGGCCGACCCGAGTTCGATTCCTCCGCCCCTCTCGGAGAGCCCGGCAAGCTACCGAGAGTATTCGATATGCCAGACACAGTAACAACAAAGTCTCCAATGGAGACGTTACTGGGCCCGCTCGAGCACATCGACGATCAACGGGAGGGCCTTTACCTTTACCTTTACCTTATTTCTCTATTGAAAATCAATCTAGTATCTTAGTTTCTTCACATGCCTCTGTAAAATATAAGCAACAAAAATCTTATTTTGACTTGATATATTTGATACAATAGAATATGAAACTACATTTCATCAGTTCTACTATCATGTTCCCGAATACTTAGTATTGAAATCAAATTTAAGAGCTATAAGTTTACATACATGAAAGAAGTCAATACATAAATTATAGTGCCAAATACACTAAGTCTACTGTATAACACAACAGGTAATTATATCAGTGAAGTAATGTTTTAGTGGCATGCATTTTGTGCCACTTTTGATCTTCTTTTAAAGTGGAGCGATAGCACAGCGGGTAGGGTGTTTGCCTTGCACGCAGCCAACATGGCCGACCCGAGTTCGATTCCTCCGCCCCTCTCGGAGAGCCCGGCAAGCTACCGAGAGTATTCGATATGCCAGACACAGTAACAATAAAGTCTCCAATGGAGACGTTACTGGGCCCGCTCGAGCAAATCAATGATCAACGGGAGGGCCTTTACCTTTATTAATACCCCAGTAATATGTTATTCAGTTGTATGAGCCACAAAATAAATATTATTGTTACTCATTACAACTAAGGGCTGGAGTGTTAATACAGCAGTAGGGCGTTTTCCTTGCACGCAGCCGACCCAGGTTCGATTCCTCCATCCCTCTTGGAAAGCCCGGCAAGCTTAGTGGTATACTTTTTTTTAATTGATTCACCATAAGGTACAGTAACAAAACTTTCATATTTGAGCTTTGATCATACAGTCATCAAACACCCATTGCTTCACCATTGCTTGCCACAAGTGGAAGGGTGGGGAAGGGCAGTTAGGACAGAGAAGGAACTCTATGACAATGATAGTTGGAAATTATCACCCTGGACAAGATCTGAGTGCTGAGAGTATGTAAAGGTATATACATGATAACCTATTATCCTTCTTATTGCAAACAATAATTTATGCCCAGAAGAAAAGAGAGAGAAGGAAGAAAAGTGCCTGCCATGCAGGCTGGTTGGGGTAGTGGTGGGGAGGGAGATGGTGGTGGGAGGGAAACTGGGGACATTGGTGGTAGGAAATGTACATTGGTAAAGTGATGGGTATTGGGACATTGTATGACTGAAAGCCAATCATGAACAATTTTGTAACTGTGATCCAATAAAAAAATTAAAAATTAAAGCCATACTTTTGCCTAGGAGTAGTATTTTAAACTTAAATATTTTTAAGACAGAATAAGAAGTCAAATTATCATTGTTTTCAGATATCATAATAATATATGTATATGGAATAAACTAAAGACTCACAAAAAACAGAGAAATTACAGACAAGTACAGCAAAATAGCAGACTACAGAACTGACACACAAATATCTGTTGCATTTCTATATGCGAAGAACAAGCTAGAAGAGAATTTTTTAATTTACAAAAACATCAAGTACCTGGGAATCAATAAAGGAGGTGAAAGATTTATGTTTTTAAAAAAGACTATAAGTCACTATTAAAGGAAATAGAAGAGGACACATGGAAATGGAAAAATATTCCATTTTCATGTACTAGAAGAGAATATTGCTAAAATTGAAATGCCACCCTATCTAAAGTGTATTATACAGCTTCAGTGCAATCCTTTTCAAAAAACAATGACATTTTTACATGGACATAGAATAAGCGCTACTCAAACCACTAAAGTCCAAGAATAATCAAAGCAATTCTGAGGAAAAAAAGTGAAATGAGGCATTGTATTCCCTGACTATAACTATAAAGCAGTGGTGATCAAACAGCGTGCGCCATGGAATAAAGGAGACTTGGATGTCAATGGAATAGAATTGAGAATCCAGAATAATCTCTCAAAGTTTTGGACAGTTAATAAATGACAGAGGAGTTGGGAGTATTAGCTGAAAAAAGAAAGGTCTTTTGAACAAACAGTGTTGGGAAAACTTGTTAGCCACATGAAAAATTAAATAATACCAGATCTCTGCCACATCACATGCAGTAGTTAATTCAAATGGGTAAAAGGCCTCAGCATTATATCTGATTCTAAAATATATCAAAGTAAACATCAGCTGCACTCTTTATGATATTGATTTTTGATGTATCCTTAGTGATTTGACTTCATTGGCAAAGAAAACAAAAGCAGCATTGGACCACCCCAGGTGGGAATAGGTTTTGTGCCTTGGTCTGTTCCCCCTGGCGGCCCGGTGGCCACCATTCTCCAGAGGCCACTGGACAATCAGGTTTGTGCCCTCAGTGACAAGACAAGTTGGGCTTCATGGGATGGGGTTGGAGCCGGCCCTTTCCTCCCCACCCCAACAAGACCCCAAGTTGTCGCCCACAAACGGCCACTCTGGATCCTGATCAAGCAACGGCCATGATCCCAGAGACTCAGAAACAAATCTCAGAACCCAGTGGCTTTTGGCAGAAATGCGTCCGGATCCTCCGGGCCACCCCAGGATGGAAAGGGTGCTCTCCCTTCGCCTGCTCCCCCTAGGTGGCTCGGTGGCCATTATCCTCCAGAGGCCACTGGACAGTCAGGTTTGGGCCCTCAGTGACGAGACACGCGGGGCCTCCCAGGATAGAGGTGGAGTTGGCCCTTTCCTCCCCATCCCAACGAGACCCCAAGTCACTGCCCATGAACAGGCTTTCTGGCTTCTGATCAAGCTGCTTAACGGCCATGATCCCAGAGACTCAGGAACAACTCTTGGAACCCAGAAGATTTTGGCAGAAATCCCTCCGTATTTAAGTGTTAAAATTTTAGAATTTCAAAACCGCACAGCCACTACTGCAGCCACACAACATCATATGTTATTCTTAACCAGCAATAGAAAGCAAATTGTCTACTGTTGCCTTTTCAGCAGATCTGAGTGTTGGGGTAAAATCCCAAATAATAATGGTGGGTCTGGTGTCAAAATATTGAATGTAGAGAGAGAGTAATGTGGAAATTGTCTGCCCCACAGGCTGGGGGAGGGTGTGGGATGGAGGTATACTGGGGTTTTTGGTGTTGGAGACTGGGCACTGGTGAAGGTACGGTTATTTCATTATATGACTGAGACTTAAACCCAAAATCTTTGTAACTGCTCTAACGGTGATTCAATAAATAAAGGCCCTCCCGTTGATCATCGATTTGCTCGAGCGGGCCCAGTAACGTCTCCATTGGAGACTTTGTTGTTACTGTGTCTGGCATATCGAATACTCTCGGTAGCTTGCCGGGCTCTCCGAGAGGGGCGGAGGAATCGAACTCGGGTTGGCCATGTTGGCTGCGTGCAAGGCAGACGCCCTACCCGCTGTGTTATCGCTCCAGCCCCAATAAATAAAATTATAAAAAAAAATGAAAAGAAAAGCAGAAGCAAACAAATGACACTACATCAAATTTAAATGTTCCTGCACTGCTAAAGAAATTATGGCTGACATTAAAAAGACATCCTACTGAATGGGAGAGAATATTTGCATGTCATACATGTGACAGAAAGCTAATATTCAAGGTATTTTAAGCACTCATAAAACTAAGCAACAACAACCAAAAAACACAGTTCCATTGGAAGAGGAACTGCATAAACTCTTCATTAAAGAGACCAAACATTTCCGTAAGGATGACCAATAGACATATTGAAAAAGTTCTCAGCTCTCACTGATTATGAATGTAAACAACCAGTGCTAGTGCAGATGTGGTGAAAAAGGAACCTCATTTCACTGGTAGTCAGAATGCCATCTGGAAAACAGTATGTAGTCTCATCAGAAATTACAAAAATAGAGCCAACAGATGATCTAGCAATTCCACTCTTGCCACTGATTCAAGGGTATTAAAACATTAATTTGAAGAGATATATGCACATCTATATCCTTTGAGTGCTATTTACTATACCTAAGCTCTGAAACAACACAAATGTACTGTAATAGATGAATGCATAAAAATATAGTGGTCTAATGATGATTGGAGGAATCGTTCTGGATGGGAGATGTGTGCTGAAAGTAGATAAAGGACCAAACATGATAATCTCTCAGTATCTGTTTTGCAAACCATAATGCCCCAAAGTAGAGAGTACGGCCGGGGAGGGGGGGGGCGGTGGAATTGAATGCCATGGCGGCAGGGGGAGGGTTGGAAAGGGAGGATATACTGGGGGACATTGGTGATGGAGAATGTGCACTGGTGGAGGGATGGGTGTTTGATCATTGTATGATTGAAACTCAAACATGAAAGCTTGTATGAGTATCTGAAGGTGATTCAATAAAAAAATTGTGGTCTGTATACACAATGGAATACTACTCAGCTATATATAAATATGAATCCTACATTTTGCCACAACTCAGGGTGAACTAAAGGCTATCATGTTAAGCAAAGTAAATCAGAGGGAGAAAAACATTCTGGATGTTTTTACTCATTTGTGGCATACAAAGAA